TTTTATAATAGTTTTTTTACATTCTGGTTTAGTAGCAAATAAGATTGCTACTAAAAGCCCAAAGGGGGGCTCCTTTAAAATAGATTTCAAAAAAGTCTATTGCTGCCCCGTTTCTTGAGGCTACTTATCGCTTCCACAAGCAATGCAAATACAAATGAAGAGTATAAGCTTGATTTTGGAAAGTGTATGTGTAATCCATTAAGTATGAGGTACACACCAACAAATAAAATGAATAATATGGCTATTGTTTTTAATCTAGGAGCTGATTTTATTAATTTAGAGGTATAGTTTGATAAAAATAACATTGATAGCATAGAAAATNTAAATGCAATTGAGATGATCATGATATTGTGTATCAATACTACGGCAGTTAAAATTGAATCAATTGAAAAAACTAGATCTATTAATATAATTTGTAATATAACTAAAGAAAATTGTGATTTTATGTTTACTTTTGTTTTGTTTTGTTTATATGAAAAAATATCATTTAGTAACTCCATAATACTCTTAACAGTGAGAAATAACCCACCTACGATCATTAATAAATCCTTTATTGAGATACCTAATGATGCAATATAAAATATGGGTTTTTGCATAGATAATGTCAGTGATATAAAAAATAGTGTTACAAGACGCATTAATAATGCTAATCCAAGGCCAAAAAAACGTGCTCTTTCTCTCAGGTGTTTTGGTGCTTTGTCAATTGCCAGAGAAATAAAAATTAAGTTGTCTATACCAAGTACAATTTCAAGTAGTGTGAGTATAAGTAGGGTCCAAGCATCAGCTAACATCTATATTTTGTATATCAATTTGTTTTTTGTACTTTATATAGTAGATTTATAAAAATTGGATTACTTTGCTTGCACTTCTCTTTTTCCCATAAATTGAATTTGTATCCCCTTGAAAAAAATGATGATTTTGTGTGATAAAAGGGTTGATTTATAAAAATATGCTGCTAGACTGCCTTGCGTGGGGTGAGGCTAATTATAAAAAGGAGGGTTAAATGAGTTTAAATGACGAATTATTGATTGCCGCAGTCGCGGGAGATTATAATAAAGTTCAGAATTTTGTAAAAGAAGGTGCTGATGTTAATACTAGCGATAATCATAAGCAGTCCCCTTTACATTATGCTAGTTATTCTGGCAATTTAGATATAATAGAGTATCTTATAGACAAAGGTGCTGATGTTAAGGCTAAAGATAAAGATGGAAATACTCCATTGCACAATGCTATTCGCTCTGATCACTACAAGTTAGCAGTTATAGAGTATCTTGTAAAAAAAGGTGCTGATTCTAATGCTAGAGATAATAATGGGAACACCCCATTGCACCTAGCTGCTCGTTTTTCTACATTAGAGGTAGTAAAGTATCTCATAAGGCAAGGTGCTGATATTATGGCTAAAGGTTCTGTGAATCATACTCCCTTGCATTTTGCTGTTCTTAATTCCAACTTGGAGATTGTACAGTATCTTCTAGAAAAAGGTGCTGATGCTAATGTTGCAGAAAATAATGGGCTTACTTCATTGCACCTAGCTGCTGGTAGTTCTTCCAATTTGGAGATAGTGAGGAGTTTAATAAAAAGAAGTGCTAATGTTAGTGCCAAGGACAATAAAGGCAGAACACCTTTGGATATTGCTAAAACAGAATGTTCAAATTGTAAAGACATTATAGATCTCCTCAAAGAAAAGAGTACGAGTCGCGTACGTCGTGATGTTCAGAATACTACTGATGACGAATTATTTAGTGCTATAGAAGCTGAAGACTACGGTAAAGTTAAGACTCTTGTAGAAAAAGGTGCTGATATTAATGCTAAGGGTAAAGATGGTAATACACCAATACATGTAGCTGTTAAAAAAGCTCAATTGGAGGTAGTTAAACTTCTTATAGATAAAAAGCCTGATATTATTAACGCCAGAAATAAAGATGGACAAACACCATTGCACATTGCCATTCATTTTTCCAATTTTGCGGTGGTAGAGTATCTTGTAGAAAAAGGTGCTGATGTTAATTCTAGAGATGATTATGGAGATACCCCATTGCGCGATGCTGTTAGTAATAATCATTTAAATATAGTAAAGTATCTTGTATCAAAAGGCGCTGATATTAGTGTTAAATATAAAGATCATGCAGGACACACACTCTTGCATATTATTGCTTATTCTTCTTCCGGAAGCTTAGATATAGCAGAGTATCTTATAGAGAAAGGTTTTGATATTAATGCTGAAGATAATGAAGGATACGCCCCATTGCACAGTGCTAGTTCTTCCGGCAATTTAGATATGATAAAGTTTCTCATAGAAAAAGGCGCTAATATTAACATTAAGGATACAGGTGAAGAGACTCCATTGCACATAGCTGTTAGTAATAATAATCTAAGTACAGTGAAGTGTCTTGTAGAAAAAGGTGCAAGTATTAATGCTCAAGATAATCAAGGAAACACTCCATTGCACATAGCTGTTAGTAGTAATCATGTGGATACATTAAGGTATCTCATAGAAAAAGGTGCTGATATTAATTCTAAAAATAATATAGGTTATACACCTTTACACACAGCAGTGCAAGAAGGTAACATGTATATGATTAAGTGGTTTATAGATATCCCAGGTGTTGATTTCTACGCTAAAAATGGTAATACACCGTTACATGTAGCTGTTGAGAAAGCTCAATTGGAGGTAGTTAAACTTCTTATAGATAAAAAGCCTGATATTATTAACGCTGCCAATAATAATCATAACACAGCCTTACACGTATCTGTTAGTAATAATCATGTAGATATAGTGAAGTATCTTATAGAAAAAGGTGCTGATGTTAATGCTAAGGGTAAAGATGGGAAGACCCCATTGCATCTTGCTGTCCGTTCTTCTAATGCAGAATTGGTAAAGTATCTTGTAGAAAA